TTTAGAAAAAAGATAAGATTATCTTCAATTATCTTCACATAAATTTAGATAATTGCTTCCATATATCGACCATTCCACACCAAGTGTAACAAAAATTGCAGATGACCTCTCCGATTTCGCTCAAACTTGGTGTATAAACTTCTTATGGCCAAAAACTCGCAAAGCCAAAAAATTAGGGTGACCCTCCCCACCTGATGAAAAGTTAGGGTGACCCAAATATTGAAAAAAATGAAAAATGGTACAAACTTTCAAAACTATATGCATGGTTGGATAGATAATCGATGGGGCTACAAAAAAGTCCACTACGACAACCCCATCCGGGCTCATTCAAGCTCTGAAAAGTGGGTTCAAAGTATAAAATGTGAAAAAAATCAATTAGACGTGGTTTTATTTTTTCCAATTTTTGGGATTAAAATTCGGCCCACCTCAAATTCTTGAGTTTTTCGATATTCCTTAACTATCCGACACCTCATATTTTACGAGAAAAAAATTCGGTGTTTTCACCATTTAACATTTTTTCACGGTTTTTCGACTACTTATTTTTTTCACACCAAATAGGTGGTCTGACACTGGTGAAGTGTTCTGATAAAATTCTCGCCAGACTCCAGCGAATCAAAAAATAACAATGTTTGGGGTCGCCCTCCCCTTTGGAAGGGAGGGGGAGGCTAAAAAAGTCGAAAAATCACCGAAAATCACTATTTGAGGGCCAAAACAGGGCAGAAACCCACTTTTGGCCCCAAATCACTATAATATTCGGAAATCTCGTAGAAAATCCTACTTACGCGTTGAACATTTTAACTTGATCAAACCCTTCCTTCTGCCCCAAATCGAGGTCGGCAGTTTGAAAAATCATGCTCCTGCAAGTATGCAACCATTTTTAACTGCTTCTAAGGCACTAGCACTGGTGCGGTGTGTTCCCAAAATGTAGCGCTTGATGTCTAAATTCTTGTGGCATATAACATGTTTCATTCATATGGTTCAAATTTGGCGTTTGGGAGGCTAATATTGAAGAAGAAGGTGAAAAAATCGCACAATCTCACCACAACTGCCCAAATCAAGGCAGTGGGCCTCATTTTTGGCCACAAAAGATTGCATTTTCGAATTTTTCGTCGAAAATTAGCCTAAGACTGGTCAATCTAAGATGCTTTTTGAACCTTACCATTACTTCAAATATAACTCGGGAGATCGAGTGTCCAAACATACTGAAATAAGCTGTTAGCATGTGGTTGGACTTTTTAATCTGCAGCATCAATATGAGTATCATTTGAAGTCTTGATTCAATTTTAAACAGGTCATTCTTGGGCTAATTTTTTCCGCACAATGCACCATATCTGCCCCACCCCCCGCAAATATGGCAAATTGCCCAATTTCGAGCATTTTCGAGGGAGTGATTGCAGCGCCATCTATAACGTCAATCAAAATATGGTTTTTTATGCTTGAGTCTATCGAGAAGGGTTCATTCTTCATAATCAGTGTGAACCCGATACAAGAATAATCTTTTTTCCACAATTTTTCCGTGTAAAAAAAACAGCTCCCGCAAATGACGCTTATTTGGCCCAAAAACCGACATAAACACGCAGGGTAAAATTTACGATGCCGATAGAAATTCACAAATGTAATGATGAGGAGTTGTTGACATATACCTAAGCTTCAAATATGACGTTTCAGATATGACATTTCTGGCCTGGATTCACTGCTGGCGCCATCTTTTGTAAAACGGCCTTTTTTAAGTTGTAGACCCAATAATTTAAACCAGAGGCAGTGTCTTTCAAACAGAAATTAAACCAAGATCTTGTAATGCATTATTGAGATAACTGAGAATCTCTTTTTTCTGTACCTACTTTGTTGCAAATATATATCCTTCTTACTATACTTTTAATAACACTATAATTAAAAGGGACGACTTTTAATGATATATTAATGCAAAGTTACTTCGATGAAATACATTTCATGTAGTACGCAAAAAAGTAGTTTGTTGTGAAACAACAAAATAAAATAAGTGACTTAAATCTCAAGAACGCAGAATGGAGCGAAGCGACCCTTTGCGGTCTTGTTTTTCTCTCTTTGGAATTTCAAATTGATTATTTTTGCAATTATCTCAATTTATCTTAAAAAAAGATAAGATAACACGCAAAAATAAGATAAAGATAAGATATTTTATCGATTTTCTGAAATTAATCTAGATAAGATAAAAGATATCATCTTATCTTATCTTATCTTTTATCTTATCTAGATAATCATCTTTGTCCGAACACTGATTTTTGGACAAATATTGAAAACACTCAGTCATTCATTGTAGTGATAAATTACATGAAAAAAGATTTAAAAAGTGAAAGAAAAAAAAACAGAGTACAACGCTAGGGGAATTTATCATTCAATGCAGTTTGTATGATTGAAGTCTTTTTCCAAATTCAAACAATATTCTTATGTTTACACACAGATTCAAAAGATTCACTCAGATTCAACACATTACTGTGAACGAATCGTCATGAATATGATGAATCTGATGAATCTCGTGAATCCAAATTGAAAATGGCGACAGAACTGTCAGTCGCCATATTGGATTTCAGTAAACAAAAGATTCATAAGATTCGTCAGATTCACACCATTTGGAAAGTGAGTAATTCCCCTAGGTACAACGTCCAATCAAATTAATTAATATTGACTCTCATCAATTCTTATGGACACACTTGATTTTTCCATGAAAAAAATGACTGAAAATCGTTCGCAAAGTTCACAGTCGGCTGAGCTCAGTAACAATGGATTAATTCTCAGTGATATACTCCTGCCAGTGGAATTGATTCAGCGCATTTTGTGTTATATCGATGCAGACACTGTGTTGAATTGCCAACTGGTGTGCAAACAATGGAACGAGATCATCATGGATTACGTTTGGCGTAAGAAAGCTGAAATCAAAACGGGCTGTAAAATTCCCATGGATATCGATTTAAAATCACGCGATTTTTATTCCATCTGCGCAAACAATTTATTTGACAGAAATTTGGTGAAAAATCATTCTGGCGAAGATGCTTTCAAACACTGGCAAATCACTCAGAACCGTGGTAATCGTTGGGCCATTGAGTGTCCTCCGATTGGTGCACCGTCACTTCCATCAGAGCCCGAATTTGAAAATAAACAGCATTGCTTCGTTACCTCTTATGGCGAATGCTGTAAAAACTATACGGTTGATTTGATTAAAGAAGGATTCACAGCCAATATTTTGGATCATTTGCAACCATCGATTAAGGTGAGTTTTAAATCTATGTTTTTCTTGTAGCCTTTTTCCAAGCATTGATTACGAATAACTGAAATAAGATGGCAGAAAATTGTTTTCGGCTCGAAGAGTTTGTATTTTCTTATCTCACACCTGAAAAAAGGCTAACAAAAATCATACATTCTCCTACGTCAAACGAATAGAAATGTAGTACTTTATGTACGGCTGCTAACTTTTCGTTTACTCTTTGTGATTTCTATTCCATCTAACGTTGCATGATTAATTTTCAGATTAGCGAATGGTATAGTTGCCGATATGATTGTCCAGCAGAGTATACCGTACAAGTGTATTTATTGAGTCAATCGGATGTACAAATTAATGATTTTACCTTCGAAGACGTCTTAGAGGGAGATCGACAGAATATTTGGTTCAACGTAAGTGTCATATGGAATTATCGTTATTCAATCTGTTTAACATAACATATAAAATTCCAGGTGAAGCACGAATTCAAGAACTATGGACAAGGAATAAAAAAAATACATTTTGTCCATAGAGGCCGAGACCGACGTTTCTGGCGTGGGCATTATGGTACGAAAATGGCGGGCGCGTGTGTTAATGTCAACGTTCCAGATGCGTTTAAAAAATTAAATTAATTTAGGAATTGCATGTGACAAGATTTTGTGGTAGTTTTTAATGTGAGAACTGCCAAAACTGACCATAATTTCGTCCGTACTTTCCAGAGAATGAAATGAGCTAATTTTGATCTTTGATTTTTTCATTCATTCCGTTTGAAGATCTTCAAATCTTTATATTGTCCATTATGAATGCTAAACAGCCAGAATTCAGATGATTTTTAACCAAATCGAGTTAACATGGACTATTCCATTTTTATCTCCGCCAAGTGTTGAACAGATTTAATATGTTGATATTTTAATGTTTAAAATAATAAAAACTATAAAAACAATTTTAAAACAAGGAAATAAATATAATTTTCATGTTGATTCATAAAAATATTTTTTTCAAATTTCAAATTGATTGAAATCGCCGCAAATCGAGCGGTCAATACTTTTCTGAGGTTATGCTTCGACATTCGACTGGAGCGATTTGAGTGTGTCAAAAAATGCTGTCAAATTGGTTTGTTTTGGTAAAAAAACAACAACATTTGGAGTCACAGTCAGAGAGCATTGTAACATAGTGAGTGTTGGTCGATATTTTGTATTTTGTCCATTCAAAATGATTCGAACGCATAAGCGACAGGTTATTGTCAATATGGACGAGTGTGTGGCCGAATTATTCGAAGCCATTCATAAATCAACGAGCAAACCGGCAAATATAAGTGATTCAGCATTGATAGCATTGCTTTCACCGCTGGTAAAAGCAGCCATCGAAACAAAAAACGAACCAATTGTAGAGCGTTTAGACGAAGTGATTAAGGCACAAGGGGAAAAATTCATTGACAAACTGAAATGTGAACGCATTGAAGACGAGTTGGAGTTTCAAAAGTTTCGCCGACGATTTGCCATTCGATCAATTTTACACAATTACTATGAATGTGAGCAAACCGACATGACACTACGCAAACTGTACAATCATTTGCATCCGCAGTGTACGAGTGTTGATTTGACAACGGAACGCCTGAAAAATTGGTTAAATCGCTTGGGTTTTTGCATCGTAACCGTTCCGCACAATCGTGAAATTGTCATCGAAATGCATTCACAGAAATTGGCGCGGCTACGCTACATTCGACGCATACAATCATTGCGCCAAATCGAACGGAACATGGTCTATTTTCGTGAAGTAACCATTAGCATTAAGTCGAAAACGGCTCAGGCGCCGCCTGATGAATTGACAGTATTTTTTGCTGCCAACCATACGGGACTTTTGAACTTTGCATTCGTTGAAAATGATTCGAGGACGACGGAAAATTTTGTCGAGTGGCTGACAATCATATCAGGAAATCAACCGAAAAATACGGTACTGATCATTGAACCAAAAATGTTTAGCGCACCAGTTAAACCATCAATTTTCGGCAGTGCCATACCGACATCGTTCAAGTATGAACGGATTTGGAAGAACTTCAACACATTTATGCCTGGCGCGAGTGCAATTTCCGAAACCGTTTACTCCGTGGAAATGTTGGATTTTTGTTGGCAAAATCGTGAAGCTGGCATTGTGGTGAAGAAATCGTTTGTTGACCCCACGAAATCCATGGAAGAAGCCGGCTTCGAAGTGCTCCATCTGCCCTGTTTGCACACCGAGCTGAGTCCCATGCATCGAATTGATTTTCCCAAATTAATCGAAGGCGTACCGGAAAAGGATCGAACACTTGACAAAATTAAGGCAGTAATTCGATCGCATTTGGACAGAAGCACGGCTGCGGAATGGAAGGAATACTTGGAAAATGCCATTCGCATTGAGAACGACTTTCTTCGATTCGAAGCACTTTTGAGCGATGAGGACGAAGCAATTGAAATGGACGACAGTTCGGACGATGTACAAATTGTTGATGAAAATCGCGAAACGGTTACACTTAGCGACGACGACGACGACGACGGCGAGGATGATTAATTATGTTGACTCTATCGATTAGATTTTAAGACTGAATTTAAATGTAACAGCAATCATCATAACTGTCTAGACATATGATACAAAATAAATATTTCAATCTCAAAACAAATAAGTTGAGTCAATGAAAAACACATTTTTTTCATCTTTTTCATTCAAATCGGTTTTCATTCGACTAGCAATTGAAACACATGGGAAAATGGTACCATACAAACAATTGAATTAGGAGAGCATTTGAAGCGAATTCATACACATGCACAAATGCCATACAAACACTAGCACCGCACTTTGTACTTACACGCCGCACACATTTGCCAGTGAAGGCACGCTTTGTGCACGCTATACCCTCGAACAAATGCCATCATATGCATTTGCGTCGTAGTTTCGTCTCTTTCGTACAATTCGCCGCACATTTCAATCTGTGTGTGACTGTTAGCAGCGCTTGTTGATGCAGATTTGTACTCACACGAAGCTTTGCTCCTCAGTTCGACGAGCAACGAGAAAGTGAAGAGACGGACGATATTCGGGTATTTGTGAAAAGAAAAGAAAAAAGAGTCTTTCGTTTGACACTTTTTATGGCTTTATTTTCGGGCAATGTTGCAAATATAGTGAGCATAAAGCCGCATTTAATGTTCTACAGTTTTTCATACATCGAAATTTCGTTAATGTGTGTGAAATAAAGCAGTGAAAAAAACTTTTTTTTTCTTTTTGAAAATTCCTTGATGGAATTTTTGACGCTATTCCTCCGTACATTGTGTTACAGTGGTGAATGTTTCTAACTTCAATTACAACGATCTAATGGCCAAAAAGGCAACGAAGCTGTTGAATTTAAGTGTTCGTCAATCGCAACAGCAGCAGCAGCAGCAATAACCATTTATTAATATTATTGCTGAAATCCAGTTGATGGAATGTGGAAAGATCCGTGAATAAATACACAAATCGTGAAAGTTTTTTTTTTTCTTCTTTCTTCATTTTTGGTGTGTGAGATAACCTTTCCGTTGCAAAAAAACGCGTATAGAAAAGAGATAAATTTTCGAAAGTACATATTTCGAATGATTCCCATGTGAATATCAAGTGATGTGTGCAAGCGAGACAAAGTGAGAAATAGTAGTGAATTGAAGAATGCCAATGGGTTTTATTCAGTGATCCCTCATGCCGTAGTGATTCAATTGTGATATTGATAATTATTGGAACGAAGTATTGCAGCCGAAATAAACACAAGAAAAATGGATTTAATTGAAACTCTGGAAAATATGGACAAGAGTGAATTTCTGCCGTTGAGCACGGTCAAACAAGAAATGCTTGACACTGGCAACGGTATTAACGACAGCGGCGGTGGCGGTGGCAGCGTTGCAAATGTAACAATTGCCGAAAACAATGGAATTAACTGTGCAACGACAAACAATGGCTCCGATGCTGTTGAAGTGAACAATCCCGTGTGCGATAGCGCCGAGAAACAGGTAAGAGACAGAAAACAAGGAGATATAATGCAATATCATTTTATCAAGATCTATTTATAAAGTAGAACATCTGTGAGGTCATTGTAAAAATAGCAGCTGGCTTTGAAACCATTTTTAAAAAAATCGATTATGCATACAACCACATCCTTACGCATCGCTTTTATGAGCACGCTGCCATTACGAAATTACCGTGTTTTGTTAGGACTCTCTCGTGAACAATATGCACACAAATGAAGTGCACTTTTCACATACGAAGCATACATTCCGGTTGAACGCTAACGATATGTTCGAAATTTGGTTGTTTTTCTTTCCCTCTTCGTCCCAACTCTGTTATTTATTTTTGCGCTTTTCGTATTATAGACGAAATATTGGAGTAATACGTGCGGTACCGACGGTGTTACATATATGTAAATACTCATTATGTGCGCTTGTACGTGCGTTGTTCATTAAAATTTATAACTTAAAGCGGGCATTGTTCATCGGAATGTGTTTATTTAACCTTTTTTTTCTTTTCTTCAATGAAGTTTTTCGCCTCGATATTCGTTTACTTTGCGAATTTCCTAAATTGTTTCTCTTTTATGGGTATTTATAACACAGGCTTAGAAATTTCTTCGGTTTTTTTATGGTCAAATTTGCAACAGCATTTCATATTTGTTTCTTAAGTTTAACGCGCATAAAATCAAGCCATAAAATGCGTCAACATTGATAGTGATTCTTTTCACTGCGCAAGTCATCATTCTTCTGGTTACAATTTTATTGCCCTTCTCATTTTGTTTGCTCGTACTTCAAGTGTCATAAAAATTGGTATTGCTGTAAACATTTGTAACGTGCACCGAATTGTTGAATTGTTAGCATCCATTTCACTCGATGCAGCAGAAAACTTTCAAATTATTATTTAAAATTACATTCCAACATTGGCTTGATGTAGCTAGCATGCCCGTTTGACTTTCTTTCCCAAGTGAAAGTAAAAAACGAAATCGTTGCTTTGCTACAAGATCCAACTACATCATTGTTAATGAGATCGAGTGCATACATTCATTCGGAGTGGGTCTACTCTTACTGTTTATTCCCCTTCAAAATCGCTCGAAATGTTTGTGCATTAATTTTGTTAATTAAGAACGTCTTATTGGAGAGAGAGAGAGAGAGAGAGAGAGAGAGAGAGACAAAAATTCGGCAATATTGTTTATAAGAATTTCGACCCGAATTTACTTAGGCTACACATTAATAATATAAGAAAATATCATTCTTGAACAACAGCACAACATTTCAATTATAGAGTGTTACGCCATATCAATTTCAATTTCTTTTCGGTCCACGTAAACCATTTGTTTATAAAATTCAATTAAAAATGCAATAAAATTGGGGTCGAGAAAATTTTTCGATAAGAAAATCGATCAATTTTCGTTTCTTCTTTTATGCGAGAAATGAACTCTGTTGCATGAAATGTTCTTGTTTTTGTTCTTCTTCTTTTTTCTTGATATGAGTATAAATAACCTATGGACCTCATAATCGGTCGAACCGTATCCGTAGACAATATTGAACAGAACGAACACAGATAAGATATGACTTATCGCGTCATTACATTTGAGCCAAGGATTTAGCAATCACATGTTCAAAATAAATTTTCACGCTTCAATCTGCTATTTTTTTCGAACACTTCACGCATTTGCGTATTTTCGACACTCAACATTTCGGCGACGCAAGGATCGACTCATGTTCGTCACCATCAAGTGGATGAGTGTTTTGTAATTCTTGGAAACTGTATGGTTCACTTCAAAAACAATACATTATACATTAATGAAACTGAGAGAATATGCACATAATGCGAATGAATAGAGAACACATGAATAGAACAAATTTAGAACAAAACATGTTTGGCATTGTTATGAATTCGTCAACACTTGAGCTCTCCAGGGTATTAGTATAGTTTTTTTAGGTACTATATTAAGAGAAGTAGAAGATAGTAGAAAGATGGACGTCAATCTTCACTTACTTCTTTTGTAAATTCAACTTATGTTTTCACCTCCCTTGAGGTTTTTTCGGAACTAAACTGGTGGAAACATGTTCGAAAGTCTTTCGTAAATGAATGAATTTTCGAATTTCATCCAATGGATAACCCAATATTTGACTATAATTTTCCAGGAAAATATCCGTATGGTTTCGAAAAGTCAAAGGACAACATATGCTCTGCCTTTCATTCCTGTACAAGTGGCAAATTGTCATGCTAATAATGTAAGTCATGCGGAAAAGCAGTATTTTGAGGAAATGGCCATTTTGTCCTATCCCGATATGAAATGTAAATATGGACTCCTCTCTCAGGGGTGGCTGTATACCTAAGGCAATTTAAATTGCATTCAAAATGAGTGGTCTGCGTGATCCAGTGGTCGCATTTTCAACCCATGTCACTTTTTTTTACATTGAACCACCAATTAAACGGTTCGTGTACAATAAAAGCAACAAGAGAATGAAAAAAAGGGTAATTAATACTCATTAGATTATAAAATTAGATCTATAATTGCCAATTAACCATTGGCCTATTTATGGAGGGCAATCATCATTAAAGCATTTTAATTATTCCACCAATTATATTCTGATCGTGTTTGAAAAATGACTTTAGATAGGTAGATAACTTCGAAAAAGGCAATGACTTATTCTTGTTAAGGAATTTTTCGAGATTTAGTGTACTAGTCAACCGTATAGTACTTGTATGGGATTGTAGACTTATTTTTGCGTAAAGAACTAATATGCGCCATCTCTAGTTTTTTGAATGAAGTTAATTTATTTCTCTTTCTTTTCTCCACATTTACATGTTATTTCGTGGGAAATTCTTCTGAGCCTTCAATTCGGTTGGAGCCTCCACACCAATAGATTTCATTGCTGTAATGTGTGTTTTGACTATTTCTGAATAGCCGTACATGCTTGGTACTAGTAAACGGACATTTTTCCGAAATTAGTCAGTGAATCACATTTTTCCACGAATTTTAACCGAATTTCATTTAGAACTGTATGGAATACGATAAGATATTTCTTGTAACCAAACATTTCTACAGAATATAGTACAATCTTTCTATGACATACCCTGGTTATGAATCAGCTATGTGTTTGGTGATTTCATCGTTGTTTCTGTTTTCATAGTGCTAATCGCTATGTTTGGCTATTGTGAATGAAATATGAAAATAAATGAATGGGTATTTATTACAGTTCTTTTTTCTTCTGTTCGAACTTCCGTTTGCGATAATTATTAATGATAAAAAAGGGGAAATCCTCCTTGTGTTGAAACAACAGGAAAGAGCTTCTTTAAAATGCATGATAAGCATACAGACAAACATAGACAATTCCAACGACATATAATTTTCGAAGTTATTGCATAAAGAAAATAGCATGATACACACCCATGTATGAAGGTAGTTAAATGACCGTGAGTCCTTTTCCTAGTTCTAAAAATACACTTTAAAATTCCGCAAACGTTTCGAAATTTTATTTGACAATGAATGCGAGAACTGGCAGAATCATGGAAATTATATGTTCCTATTCCTAGCAAATGGCTATAGAAATCCAAAATATACTCATTTTTATACCACGCAAAAAAACAGAGAAAGACAAAAAACGAGCGCAAATAAATTGCCTCCTCGATTGAATTATTATACGAAAATCACCCGTAGCGAGAACGTTAAATACGGTTGTAGTCTAGCAAACGATGCCACATTAATTAAAATTCATCATTGTTACATGTGCGTGTGCTGCATAACAATGAGGCGAAACCATTATAAATCCGTTTTTTTTTCGAGACGGAGTGTCCGATGTAAACTGATTCGAGGGGAGTCCGATGTCGTTCATATATGAACATACCGCTGGTAGTCATTGTGGTAGCTTCGACATATAATAATATATGTTTTATTCATAGTTATAGGTCGGGTTTTTTGTCTGTAGGTGAATTCATTTCTCTCTCTCTCTCTCTCTCTGTGTGTGTGTGTGTGTGCGTGCTCAATTTGCCCCCTATTTGTGAACGGTTACGCGCACATTATTCATAGAATAAATCTAAATTATATATAATTTTTGATTCGATAGAGCACCATAATTGTGCATGCCATTCAATGAATATATGATAAAGAGCACCGAAAAAAGGGTTGCATTTACTTCTTCACATCTACTTCATATGAATTATGTTTGTCTATTATTATACATGTTTGTTCGCGGAACTGGTAAATAATCATTTCGATCGCTAAATTCAGTCAGGTTTGATGACACCTCACACAAACATTTATCAAAGGCTTTACCAACGTCAATAGAATTACCAAAGTAAATAAGATTGCTGTGAGAATTGTCTCAAAAACACAATGGCATCTCTGTATGCCGATGAAAAATGTTTTGCCATTAGAATTTCTTTTTTCTCGGAAATTATCAAGTAACACACATTTTCCGAAAGGAAAAAAAAGTGGAATCATCAAAAAAGTTCTGGTTATGGATTGTTTGCATCCAATTTTTTTTTTCGGAAATATCTAACTTTTTTTCTTTCTTTTTACAATTTACATAAAGTATTCATTACATACAGAGGTAGAAAAAAAACATGTTTCAATTGTAATGTGAGTTACATTCGAACTATAAAAATGTCATTGAATGTTTCTTCTGAGAAATTTCGTACCATTTATGAAGCTCATAACGAAAGACAAGCGTCAGCAAACAGCTAAATAATAATAACACATTATTGCCCATTGCAAAATCCTCAATAACTGTTCCGTTTTATGGTTTCTGCTCTTTGCTAAGCAGAAGACTTATTTTTTCTTCTCTTCATTTATCACTTTCCGTAAAAGCGGCTTTGCATAATCCGGCAGCTGCACAAGAGAAAAGCCGTGGAATCCTTTCTTAATTAAATGTAAAGTCCTTTCTTTGGCTCTATCGACTGTAGCCATTCATACAATTTCTAGATTTATATAAAGGCGAAGAAATCGCCGGATCTGACGCAATTTTTTTTTTTAATGAAATCAATCACATCAGCGCTTTTGCCACCACTTGTGCAAATAAATTATTTTTCTCGCAAAGTCCAAGGGTACAGAAGCGAATGATCAGCAATTTATATGCCGTGAACGTAATGAACTGACGTTGTAACAGAAAAAAAATGCTATGTGCAATTTTCCCAACGCAAAGATTCAATTAAGATAATAACTTTCAATTACTGAACAAAACAACGTGCAAAATTTAAATGGGCATAAGAAAATGGAAAATGTTAGCATTTGGAATAGAATACCATCAGCTTTCGATTATTGAATCCATACAAGAAAGAAGAAATACAACAGGCAACAAATGAAATATAGCGACTTTCACAAAAGCGCATGAAACGGTCTGTGTTATATTCACGATTCCATAAAATCGCAATCATAAAGCGAGTCAAGAAACTTTAGCCTCGAATTTTATTTGCATTTGATTCCTGTTGTGTCTGCAAATACACACACAAGCCATTAGCATGTAATGCCTTATCATGCTGAACCCATTGTTTTCATACTTGTTACCCATATGAGAGATAGAAAAAATGCCAGGCCAAAAAAATCATACCTGGGATAATATAAATTCAAAGAGCGGATGAAAGAAAAATATCTAAAGCCAAATCATTTTTTTTTTCTTCGAGAAGAAGAAAATAAATAGCAATGGATTGTGCGGGGCAGGCAAGCATATACATATTGATATTTGCAATATAAGATATATGATGGATAAATGTGTATGTGTGTGTGTGTGTTTTGTGCTATGTACACATGTTTGCCTTGTTTTATGTACATATACAGATGTCTCTGTCACGCATTAATGAGTTTTGGGCGAAACCACTATTGCTTAACAATTGCTTTTAGGGGAGTCCGCATATAAGATTTATACAATACTGGCTACAATGCTGTTGTTGTTGTTACTGTCGCCGCTCTTTCTTCATGCTCATTTCGGTGATGTGCAGCTGCCTCGGCTATTTATATACCTACACTTTCTGTAGACAGACACAGATAGCTATATAACAATTTCGCGTGCTTGCGTCTAGGTTGGCGTTTCGTGTTTTCGGCATCAAAATGCTTTATGACAAAATACATCATACAGCATTATAATAAAAGTGGGAAGAATTTGGCTGCCGTGCACAGAAGAAGATCGGAGCGTTTTCTTTTCATTTCATTTTCTACTTTAAAAAACACAAAAAGAAACTAATTTTTCAAGAAATAAATTCGTTTTGAATATAAAACTTTGATGATGAGCGGTACCACTTTGTATTCGATTTCAAGGACTTACATCATTCTTGTGTCATGTGCACTCGATTGAATCGTGTATGCCAATTGAAAACAAGAAGCAAAAGGATTTCAAATCACTTTTTAACGACGTTATTATTTTTTCATGAATGCGCTTTCCGTCATAGCGAACGAAATGCTTGGACTGGAGCGAAAGTGCTCCACCATCAAGAACGAACAAACCAACAGCAACAACAACTTATTTTAGAACTAGCGCACAGACCTTTTATTGCTTTTTTTTATATTGTTTTTCACTCACACAAGCACTCCGATACTTGAAACAATTTGTTATGCTCGAGGCTATGGTGAATGACTCGGTTTGTAGCAGTGTTGTGTATTAATTATGAATCAAAGCGTGGAATATACGAAAGTCAGTCAGCTTATAGACATGTCTATCTTCATCCACACGAAAGTGATTCAAACATTTGGGCTTTATATGTCAGGGCACACATAAAAAATGCATGCGCTTTTCTTCTTAATCGCATTCTCGCGTTTGCAATTTAATTACACCGTTTATTTTCAACGAATTGTAGTAAGTAGGTTCTTTGTCAAGTCGCATGAATGACGAACGATAAAATGAACTTTGCTTAAGAAGACTAGTTTAACTGATTAACGTTTACTACAATTGCCTTTGAAAAGAAACTTCTGAACGGACGACCGAACGGATTGTGTAGGTTAAAAAAAAATTTGCGCAAAGATCGCAAAGCACCTACACTGTATCAAAAGCAAACTCAAACCATATTTTCTTGAACGCAACGAATCCCTCTATATTTTATCTTTGCATTTGCTTTCTCTCATCCATATAATACATAAATATGTTTTCAATCGCACTGTATATGCATAGGCGGCCTGTGTAAATATTTATTCAATGTTTAGACCTACAAGCATTCCGCCCATATGATACCAACTGTTCAAACGCAGTCACTTATCAAAAGTGCATGTGTTCGATGCATGCACCCCTCGCACAGGATCCATATATAATATTGAAAATATTGTTTTGTAAATATATTCGAGTCGGTGGTAAACAATAGCGATAAGCGAAGAATCAACAGAAACTCGTCTTTCTCTTTGTCTCTGTGTCTCTGTGTCTCACTCTGTCTCTTCAACGCAATCAACGAACTTTTGATGACATTTCTTAGCGAATTACAATCACAAAATACGTCATCGTGCCGAACGTTGATTGCTTGAATGTATAAGCCTTGAAATAGAAAATATGATATGGTTTAAATAGTTTACAACGGTAAAATTAATTGCTTTGTATAAGAACTGACGTTAATCGCCTTAAACCATTATATCTCTCTTTGAACTTTGGAACGGTAAATGCATTTTAATTTGATAACAAACTGGCTATCATGGTGACATTAAATTGAATTTGCATAATATAATCTAATCATCATCAATCTTGCTCCTTTTACGTGCACAGATATTGTATCGCATAGAGCTATATAGCGTTAGTGTCTGGTCTATGCGATTTTAAGTGTGCATATTAACTGCTTTTTTGCACATTCATGACTATCAAATTACTGTTACGTTGGTATTATTGTCCTTATCGAAGTCGATAACAAAATGAATAAATCATTTACACAGTAATAAGGCGATGAAGCGATGACATTTTAATAACCTATATCGGCTTAAAAAACACATGCAATTGGATGTAGAATGGAAATGATAGCAGAAAATATACTCAAAGGAAAATTTCGATTGCAACTTATCTAATTTTATTGGAAGAAAATACAAAATAGAGCGAAGAATATCATTTCAATTGAGGTGCAAATATCTAGATAAAAGTGCAGTTTACAATTAGAAATATAAGATATATGATTATATTTAATACGTATATGATTGAAAGACAAAGAGGGAATCCATTATCCGTGGAGCAGCTATCATTTCTTCATTGGCACCGGCGAACGAACTATTGTGTTCAAGTATCATTTGATGCATTTTCTATCGTGGATACCCCCCGGGTGGGCGAAATATTGGTCCTATGAATAATTATAATTTGATTTTGATCAATTTTAAAATATGTCGAAAACGATAAGCTAAACAATTTGCATAAAAGCAGACATACCATCGTCATTTTCATCACATTCCCAGTTGTCTTGTCCT